TGTACATCTCTCTATGTTTGACTGAGTGAATTGTGTGGATCCTATACTTGGTTTTGAGTTTGACTTTCAGGACATAAGTTAGAATGAAGTAAAGGAATGTATGGACAGATACCAGTTCAGTTTGTTGACTGCCTGAAAGCATATGGTGAATGGAATGGGTTGCATCTGGGGGAAGGTTGGGAGGGAGGCAGTATTGTGTGCAGATTAACTGGGTCACTAAGGATGGGAGGTCCCCTTAAGTTTGGGGAAGCCCAGCGCTTTGTTTATTTTTGGGTTGCTTGGAGCGTTAGCCCGCTCTATAAGTTTAGGTAGCCTGAAGCTCTGGAGGCTGGGATGTCCCCATAAGTTCGGGGAGACCTGGTGCTGTGAATTGCATGGAGGGTCAGGACGCTCTATAAGTTTAGGTGTCCTGGCTGCTCTGACTTATGAGGGTTTGACTATGGGTGATTTTCAGGGACCCAAGGCGCTCTACAAGTTTAGGTACCTTGGGTTGCCTCGCTTTATTCGGGGTTCTCTCTGTTTCTTTGGTTCTGAACGAGGAGGTCTGGACCGCTCCTTAAGTTTAGGTGGTCCAACCCTTCTCCTGTTTTGTTCTGAGGGAATAATTCTGGCAGGGGACAGGCCGCTCTATAAGTTTAGGTAGCCTGGCCCACTGCCTCGCACAGATTGGATCAGAGAAAAATGAATCTGGCTGAGGATCAGACCGCTCCATAAGTTTAGGTGGTCTGACCCAATGCCTTGCACATGTTGGAACCCAATGGATATAATCTGGCTATATTGTATTACTATGTTATTATGAACAGGCTGGTCAGGCCGCTCTATAAGTTTAGGTAGCCTGAATATAGCTTATCACAACTGAAGAGAGTATAACTAAGAGATATAACTGAAGGTAATCTTGGGCGGGTTGAGCAGTGTTCTAAGTTGAGCGGCTCAGCCTTATGCCCCTTTTGAAGATTAAGTTCAGAGAGATGGCTATTTAAATAGTTCAGGGCGACTAGGGTGATCTAGTCATACGCCCAAAGAAGAGAGAAGTAGTTGTGCCCTCTGTTTGTATATACCTGACCAAGTCAGAACGCTCTATAAGTTTAGGTATTCTGACTTTGGGCTTGGCTAGGTTGGGCGCGCTCTGTAAGTTCAGGTGCCCTGACCTATGCCTTATGTAAGTTGGGTATGAAGGGATAACTCACAGAGGAAGCATGAATTATGGGTTGCTAAAGGAACTTGGGGTTGGCTAGAGTACCTACCTTTGTGGTTTGACCTGCATGTGGCTGAGTGAGATTACTACATGGTCTAGGTTTCAGGTTGACAGGTAGTTGCTTTAGAGGCTCGCCACGTGCTAGAGCGATAGGAGTTAGGTCAATTCTTACATTTTCTGAGTTGAATTTATTTTACTTAAATCGATTCTTGCATTTTCTGAGGCTTGCATTATACTTGGACTTGTATAAATTTTGGTAAGCTACTTTCTCTACGGGAAGCGCTGCCGAAATTTCTACAGATTCAAGGAGTTAGATAAATCTTGACTTGTCAAAGTCCAGCTTGTCTTTTCGTTATATCTCACTTAGTAAAAATCTGGGAAGCCTCCTTTTCTAAAGGGAGTGCTGCCCAATTTTTTGCTAATTCAGGAAGTTAGACAAAACTTGGGCCTTGAGAAGTCAAAGTTAGTCTCAGGTTTTAAACTTAGCTTTGCATAAATTTTGGGAGAGCACTTTTCTAGGGGGAGTGCTGCCAAAATTTCTGCAGAGACTAAGGAGTTAGTGAGATTTTGTCTAAGTTGAACTCAAGGTTGGGGGCTGAGTTCAAATTCGACTTGGTATAAATCTGGGAAATCCCCAATTCCGAAGGCGGTGCTGCCCAAATTTCTACCAATTTAGAGAGTTAGACAAAATTTGACTTTCAAAAGTCATAGGTTACTCCGGCTTTTGATATTTGGGCTTGTATAAATTCTGGAAAGGCACTCCTCCTACGGGAAGCGCTATCGAAATTTTCTTGAACTAGAGGAGTTAGATTATATTTTGATAAGTGGCGATTTTGACAATCCACCCTGAATAGGGGAGATTCTGCCATTAGTCTACCTTTTGCTTGGGCACTAGCTTAGAGGCAGGCTTGGACTTAGTTGGCAAAAAGCTTTGAGCGAGAATGTGCTATGGAGGTTATCCCCCATATGCTGATGATGTAGCTTGGGCGTTTGACCTATCTTGTGCTACAGGTCCTTTGGGGTGTCTGATTCAAAATCAGGACTAGACTCAGCTTGATCCCTTGAGGATCAACTCCTATTACCACTGATAACAGGTCGGTTGCCGATTCGTCGGTCTTCGACTCCGATCTAACTCACTCTCCACACTCAACCTAAAAGGCTTTAACCCTGGTGGTTCTACTGTTTGTTAAGGGTTTCACCCGGACTTTTATTGAATGACCATTTAACAAAGGTACTGAGTATTTAATTGAGGTTGGTCGGATCGGCGGTTGGGGCTTGCATAGTTAAAGCGAAGGGGTATAAGCATAGAGATTGGTTGGGGTTGACTCCGTGTAGTGCGTGTTTCTTGCGTGATCCTTGGTGTGATTGCAAGTATGTCCTGTGGCTCGGATTTGGATTTGGACTACCTGCGATCCCATATACATATACATGGTTGTGAGGAGTCTCACTGTGCTTGTGAGAAGTGATCGTCGCATCTCAATTTTCCCTTTTGCATGTATGCATGGGTATACTCACGATAGTGTTCGAGAGGCCTGAGAGGCCGTGTTAAAACCCGCTTGAAGGTTGAGGTTGAGGGACAGGGAAGGCCCTCCCTCCTGCCTATCTGCGTCTTGGGGCATTCTTAGTCGGACGTTGGCCCTGGGTCGGGATTCATGGTCCTTGTCCAGGACATCCCAAGCCCTAGGCCCTGCAGAGGAGGAGCCTCCCCTCGCACAGAGCCTATCTGTTTTGGCCGGCGGGACATCCCACCTGGAAGGCGAAAATGTCACGAGAGCCGAACGGCGTGTCCTTCAGCCGTTCAATATCGCGAGGGGTGACCCCTCGCGATGGGTTCCTTCAGCCATTCAATATCGCGAGGCCAAAGCCGCGATTGCCACATACAACTAACATTGGTGGTTGGCGTAGAATTGGCCTGCGTCCGCGCCGCTTTAAGTTAGAGTCCTGCGCGGGACGCTTCGCCGCTCCAGCGCTTAAAAGGTTACGGGATCGCTGGGCTCGCGCGTAGGCGCAGCGCTTGGGATCATGGCAGGCCGCCGGCGCCACCCAAAGAGGGGAAGAATGTTCCAAGGGCACGAGCCTTTTCAAAGCCAGGGGACCTTTGTCCTATTTCCCCTTCTTGGGTTCGTGCGTGTTTGTTTGCGTTTTAGAGATTTCGATGGTTGGACGTTGTAGTCCGTGGCAGACGCCAAAGTCAAACCCCTTGACTTTCGCCTAGGCCCGAGGAGGACTCACCCCTAGGGCCGCGAGAGACGACTACTACCACAAGCTTTGGACCTGTGTACCACCCGCTCTGCACAAGGGCGCAGAAGAGGGTGTGTGGTCTTCAACCGCGCATGACGGTTGTCTAGCGTCGAGAGACTAACCCTCAAGGCGAGTGTCAGCCGACACTTGAGTGTCGAATACGGCCCTCGAGATTAATGAGGACCGCGTGAGTATGGGTACTACATAGTACGCCATCATCGCGACTGTTCGCGTACGCTCGCATTGCGAGTCGATACGAGTTAGCCCTGCGTCTGCGCGGTTTTATACTAAGTCTCGCACACGACGCTCATCCGACTTCCGCTTTGGAAAGTTATGGGTTGGCTACCGAGGGGCTAGGAGTGTTGTCGCGTTGTATGTGCGTGTGTGCGTGTGTCTTATTTTTTGTGTGTGTTCGTAGAGTGGTGTGCACGTGGTGTGTGGGATGCGTCCTAGTCGACCGACGACGAGTCGCGCTTGGGACCTCAGCCCCCCAAGGTGTCTGTTCGCGTGCGGGTCCGATAGGCATATTACCGCGCGTATCCCCTGTGCTACAGCGAACGAGAAACGCCCTCGGCTGGTCCACCTGTGCGATTGCAACTGATCAGGTTTCGTATTGTGGACTAGTAGCTCGGCGGGGATACGCCCACCGATGGGAGGTGACAGCTCCCGTAAGGTGGAGGTAAGTCGTGCCTCGCGTAGGCCCTATCCTGTCGTAGGGGCTCGCGAGAGATATGGTTGGCGCAGTTTATCGGAGCGGCCTAAGCAAGCTCCATTTTATGGGAAGGGGCAAAAAGAGGTGTAGAAGAATAACTGAGACGGGATTATTGTCTTGCTTGTAATGATTGGACTATGATAGAACCAGTAATCCCCTTACGACCAGTATCATATTTTCCAGACCCCTTTCCCCCCTCAACGCTGAGTATGGTCTCAAGGGCTTGGTATGGGTATGAATGAATATGAGACTAGGGTTGTTCCTGTAAAGCAGGAAGGGTAGATAATGAGGGAATAGTGCTAGGGTGATGTTGTTTTGATTTGGCGCTCCTATGGGGTGAAAAGACACATTTCTATTCGGCCACTCCAAGTAGACTGTGAGGACCCCGGCCTCAATATTCTTTTGGTAATATAAGCCTTGGGCACTGGACCCCCTTAAAAAAAAAAAAGAAAAAAAAAGTTATGTCTTAAAAAAACTGCATGGACAATAACAAACACTGATGTCGGAGTACGTGTACCAAACGAAATATGAAAGGTCAAAACGTATGTGCACCAAGAATGGTTTCAAACTGAACCATCCGCATAAAAGAAAAAAAAACGCACTGCCTAATAACGAAAAAATAAATTGCTACTGCAACACATAGTAAAAAAATGTGTCAAAACTACATGATGTGGTCGTGTTGCTGACCAGTAACAAACAAACAAAAAAACGTCAAGAGCGTCCAACGTGTGTGGGCGGGCTCGTGGTCCGCCGCTCGCCACCCTTCAATGTCGTCTTGTGTGCCCTTAGTATCTAAAGGTCCTCCTCTCTGTCAACCTCCTCTGCAGCAGCGTCAGTGTGATCCTCGTCGACCACCGTGACGCCATCCCGTCTAATCTCCCTTCATGCCACCGATATAAGGGTGTCCATGCGACGTCTGCCTTGCGTCATCTCCAACCTCTCGCCTTCGGTGGTCTCACCATCCCGGTGTAATGCTCGTCGAGGTATCGGTCTCTGTGTCCTCGGAGGCCCTAACACATCTGCCCCGAGGATTTGTGAAACCTCCCCCAATCCGTGTGTCGACACTTGTGCACCAGGCGCTGCAGATCCATGTCCGCCCGCTCCCTCAGCATCAACACCCGACCCTCCACGATGATCGAACCCAGCAGCATGCACCTCCCTCGTTAATGACGTGGACGAGTGTCGCCTCCCCAACCCGGGCTGCCTCTTCCTAGTGGCCGTCGTCGACCTCCTGGTGTTGCTCCACGGCACGTCAGTGTGGCCGAGTAAAGAAGCGTCGACCCATGTTGTCGCCTGTCGACGCTCTCTAGGCCTGCCCGTCGCTGAGTTTGCCGCAGATGGTTGTGTCCCGCGATCTCGTGCCACACTGGGAGGGGACTGTGCCGCACCAACTCCCATGGCACCCACCGCCACCGAAGCGTCTGATGGTGGTGTCGGACTGGCAAGGCCCCATGAAACGGACTGCATGCATGGTAGAAGTGTTTTGGCTTTCTTTGAGTCGATCCTCACTCCACATCTCGTCTCTGTGAGATCCGTCGCAAGGCACGCGCCCAACTCATCAACAATCATTGCGCCGAAAATCAAATTGTCTCGTGGCTGCTCTACGTAACGAGTGCATTGCGTCCCAACACCAGGTGGACGACGACAACGCTGGCGATGTGTGCCCGTTGGTGCATCCTGCTGAATGGGCGGTGGCGCCATGACACCTGCTCCCTCCCCCATGCCAGAAGCAGGTAAAGTCGAGGGCGCACCCACATCTCCATGTACCTCCCCACATGCGTCCTCCCCTGTCTCTACGTCTCCCCCCACCGCCACTGGACTCCCAACTGGCTCCTCATCCCCCACGTCTCCCGCTGGTACCTTTCCTGGATCTCGCAACTGAGCAGCATCGGCCTCTGCCATGGCGGAGTCAATCACTATCTCGTCGCGTGCCTCTCCATCGTGTGCCACTGCAAGAGCGTCCGCCTCTCAGTTTCCTTGTATGGGAACGATGGGTGCCCTGTCGATATCGGGCCCTGCTGCCTCGCCCTCTCTCTCTCAAACCGAATGTGAAGTGTGGGCAACTGCCTCCTCGACCAACCCACGGGACTCCAATGTCTGCTCCTACGCACTACCAACTGGGTCGTCCATCTGCTCATCCTCCGCAACACTGCCTCGCACTCCTTCTCCCCCGGTCTCTAGTTGACGCATAACCTCCATGTCACGTGCCATGGCCTGTGTGCGTGGGCCAGCATCGGCTAGGGCCTTAGCCCTTGCGGCCTCCTCCTCATCCTCCCTCGCCTCTCGAGCCATACGGTCCTCCTCCGTATCCGGTGTAGGCTCTCCCATGTGAACCGCCTATGGTTGAGACCGAACATCCTCGTTGTCAGCATGTCGCACAACAATGGACTCACCCTCCGTCATGGCAGGCAGAGTGGCCTCTAGCTCTGCCATGAAATCGTGCATGGACCCTGATTCCATAGCATGGTCCCCAGGTCCAACCTGACCGTTGTTGGCGCGAATACCCTTACAAGGGTATCCGCCCTGGTTTTTGCAAGCGACAAAAATTACATCTAGATTATAGCTTAGAGTATACCGCGCGAGGCGCGGCTGCGTCTGAGGTCAAGGCTGACTGGATGGTTGACTAGAATAGAGAGTGTGTGGGCGCGCAGGTTTGAGGCGCACGTGATTTTAATTGTTGATGATTGAAGAACCGGCGTGATCGCTGGCTAGATTTTTTCTTTTTATTTATTTCTGATTTAAATTATGATTAAAAAGATGTTGCCTTTGGGTTGATGCGCTTGCCTGTGACTTATGCGAAGTATGGAGGGCGGCATCGACGACCATTGATTTTTGAAAACATTCTCATATATCTGTGCGACGCGCAGTATCCGCCTAGTTTAGATGGTCGCCAAAACTAAACCTAGCTTCGGGCCTCGTGTTGTTGGTTACAGCGTCGGAATTTCATTCGAGAAGTTCAGGGATCGAGATCGAGCGGCGACGACGCAGGGATATCGGAGTAGCGCGAAGAGATCAAGGGGCTAAGGGCCCGACGGGGCTACTCCCCTTTAGTTTAGCCACCGGAGGCGTCAGAACGGTACCGGCGGTCTCCTTTCCCCCGTTTGTTGTATTCTGATGATTAAAAGTTTAAATGGTTTAGTATTTTATTGTCTGTTATTTCTATACGTCGGCTTCTCTTGACTCGGACGGGGCGCCATTTTTTTTTTGGCCGTCACGACAGTCAAGGACCTTGAGCATGCGCCTCCTTTGGTTGACTTGCAGGCTCCTACGTATTCGGGGTGCCGGCAGATTTTCTCGGCTTCACCACCTGGAAGACACAGATCGCGGAGTTCAACGTGCATGCGAACCGGTGGGTGATTAGCCCACGAGGCGGAAGAAACCTGAGTGGCGGGAACCCCTTGCGGGTGTACCGTCCGCCAACAGGGACCCGACATACGGGATTAGCCTTGGGCATTGGTGGCCCAATGCACTGTTGGGAGGCCGCAACTGCGGGCTGCAACGACCGCTCCCATGAAGCCTGCCCCTACTTGGCCTTAAGCAGTTGGGGATTTGAGGGGCAGAGTGGACCACGGAGAGTTGAGAAGGGGCCCGCGGCACTGCTGTTGCGTACGGGTTGACCATAGGGAAAAAGAGGGCAGTTGGTAGCATCAGGATCAGGCCTCTTCGATGAGTTGGCCGCTGTGCCTCCCCTCTGGTACCCTCCCTCTATGAAAGTCGGCAGTCCCGACATAGTGCTACCTAGGAGGATTGTCGGGTGCTGAGTTAGTGGAGCGGACATTAGATAGCGAGGCGGATGGGCATTCTGGGCAGCGTCGAGCAACAGCAGGCATAGCAGACACACCGCAGCGGGCGGTGTGCGCTGGTGAGAAGTATCGGGTAGTGCAGACCGATAGCAGAGGAAACAACTGCGAGTGGATGAGGCAGCAGCAGCGGGCGATGGGGCAGACGAGACGAAAGAAAGGGGGTGGATGAATCCGGCCGGGGAAGTGCGCCGGATGCGTGCAGAGCAGGGAGGCGCAAAGGCTGGCAACAGGCAGTGGCGGGTGGAGCTATTGCGCAGAGGAATAGAGGGCGGTGGGCCCGACTGGGTAGCACTGCGCAGCAACAGACTAAGCGACAGCGCAGGCGTGACGGGCACTAGGATAGTGAGATGAGGCAAGAAGTGATGGGTAGAGGGCGATGAGTGTAGGCCAGGGCGGTGGGTCCGACCGGGCAGTGTTAGGCAGCAGCGGGAGGTAACAGGGACCGGGCGAAATTAGGTGGGGAGTGGTGCTGGGTACTGGTAGCACAGAAGGGCGGAGCGCCGAGGAAGGAAGAAGTCAATGGGGTAGGCGCTGCGCTACTACCAGGGGCACAACGCTGGTATCAAGAGACGGTCAGCGGGCAGTGTGAATCTGGGCGCAAACCCGCGCCAGAAACACTCAAAAGGGAAGACGAAGGAGAGAAACGAGACAGAGGGAGCACGACATTGTGAGGAGGAGAGAGTAGAGATGGTAAGGTAGTGGAGGATGCAGAATGAACCTGGACGTTACATCGCGCCAGGTACATTTAGAGCCGGATGGGAAGGAAACGGGCCATGGCGGGGTCAAGAGGGAGCCGAAAGTGAAGATATCGATCGTTTGCTCACTAGAAACGGGCAGAGAAAGGGTTGAATTTGGGGTTCTCACCCTGGGTGAGCTCGTTTATGGTACCACTTTAGGTAGAGAGTTAGTAAGAGTAGAGGTAACGGAGAAAAGTGCCGCGCGAAACTGTCGGGGCATGCGACTATGGCAGAAAAAAAGAAGATCATAGATCGCCCGTTCCTTAATGGAATCGGGCGAGGTAAAGTTCGAAATTGGAGCTTTGTGGCATGGCGAATCTGATGGCAGCATCAGATTTCGCACTGGAGCAGTAGATAGGTCGGGATCAGTGATGAGGGCTGCGTGTGACACCATCAACGACGAGTGGGGGATGGCTACAGCGGGGAGAGAAAATGCATGGCTTGCCCGATTCCCAACAGAAACGGGCAAGTGAAGGTATGAAATTAAGGTTATAAAGTGCTACGAATCAGTTGGTAGAACTAGATTCAGGGGAAGGATGTTAGTTTGTGTGCTGCAAGGAAATAAGGCCGCGCCCGGGAGTGGAGTAGTAAAGTATCAATGCATCTAACCCGGTTCTTGCGATAGATTCATTTCGATTTTCTTTCCTTTTTTCTTTTGCTTGCTTTATCAATGGAAACTGCCTCGCTCTATCCCTCCACGTGCATGCGCAAGGGTGACTCTTGTGTCTGGCCAACTCCTTAGCCCATACTCACGTCAGGGCCCTTCTGTAACTGCTCATCGTGTTGTGTCTCCCAGTATTCTAGCGGAAGACCCATTCAACTTCGCTCAGTCTGGCGATGGAAGGAGGTGTGGGGCTGGCCGAGGGATTGGAGACTTACGTATTGGTTGATCCGATGCTCGTTAATCGTTGTCGGAGAAGGGAGCGAGGCCAGCGGTGGGATAGTAGACTTGCCTACTGATGGATGCGCTGGCCATCCAATTCTACAGACGAAGGAGCGAGAGGGGAACGAGGGGTTGGGGCGTTGCTATTGCTAACAAGCGGGGAAGGATGCAACAATAGTAGGTGGGGCGCACGTACGTGGCTATGGTCACTTCCTCGACAGTCGTTTATCGTTTTTCCTTGCTTCTCGAACCCGGGCACATCCATGACCAAGTACAGATAATCAGAAGAAGGAGGAGGCCCGTCTGGAGTATGGGCGTGGCTGTTAGGACTCGAAGATGGGCATGTGCAGGGATGGAAGTTACACTGCGCTCGAACATACGTAGCCATAAGAGGCCAGCTACAAGGACTGGATACTTGCCTATTGTGGACGGATCCGCTTCCTCCTCGGCTTTGTTTTGACTAAGGAAGGGGGGGATCAAGGATAACTAAAGGGAAGTGGAGAGTCGGTCGGAGCAGCAACGACGAGGTAGCGAGACTGAGAATCTACCTATTGGTTGCAACGCTGGTAGAGGGAGAAGAGTGGTACTTACCTGTGTACATACTTTGTCAGCTGCGGCATGGCCTGCTGCAACAGGAATCTTGGATGTTATTGCTTTCTCTCAGCAGGTGGCTGCTGTAGACATCGTGACGTATCTTTCCCCCATGGGTTCCTCCTAGCCAACATTGGTTGAATCGTTGAATGTGTTGAAGTATTTCTTTATGCGAAGCTAGGAATTGTATTTTTTCCTTGCACTGCTCTCATTTCATAATGATGTCTGTTTGTATTTGTTGTTTAACTGTGTCATTGAATTCTGGTCCATCAAGCCGTATTCCCTCCATTTCATATGTACATCTTCTTAACCATATGGCCCATAATACCGCTCTCCTGCCCATGTTGAACAAATTTTGTGAGAATTCATCAATAGACTCAGGGGACCAGGTTTCAAGAAGAAGGGCTCTCCAGTCCCATGGCCACTGGATTTGTGTTTCGAGATTAGACCATATACGGTCCCACCACCTCCAAAGCCAAACGGCCCCAGGATATTGAAGGAAGACATTCTCGATAGTCTCAGGAATTAATTTGGATGGAAACGCAGACCTACAAAATTTACATCAGGGAAGTGATATTCCCCTTTGTTCCAATGTTGTCCTGTCTATAAGCCAGTTATTTGTAGGTAGGCAGCTATGCTCTATTTGCCATTGTAGTGAAGCCACTTTTGCAGGCTTAATTTTGGTCTTACTAAACCATTTTACCTTTCTTAATGATTCTTTATTAATAGTAAGATGCTTCATGAATTTTTCCTCAACTTTATCTTTTAAGATAATTTCGGGGTGAAGCATCCTGTAAGTGGATTTCACTGACAACATGTGGAGAGCACAGGAGTACTTTGTTCCTTTCCTTCTTGTATTGGACCATGTCCAATTAATCGGGTCTAGGGCCAAATGACTTATGGGTGTATTAGGTTTAAAAGCTATCCATTTATCTTTGTGCCTCAGTACTCTGACCCTGAATATCTGATCTTTTGTCACCCTACTTATATTGTTTTGATCGTTGATTATGACATTGAGATTACTATCCATTTCATATGTAGTGAGGAGAGTCTCCCCTTTTTCTAGCACTACAACAATATTGCGTAAGACATTTGGATGATCTTTTATAGTCACCCAATCACTTTCCAATAACCGAGGTCCCTTGTTTAGAATCCTTACCCAATAAGGGAATCCAATCAATTATATTTTCTAAGGCTTTCTCAGAATGATGACAATATCTAAGATGAGTTTGTAATTGTGAAAGGGTAAATTAAATCCACTCTCCTTTATCACTGTCCAAGATGTCCTTTATCTTAACAATACCATTTTTAACCCACCCCTTCCAAGGGGAATCCATACACTGAATGATACATCCCTGGGATCTTTGAGAAGATTATTATCAAAGAGTGGTTGTTGACATACTTCCT